TTCCCATCGCAGAGCAGGGAAAAGTGAGTCCCAGACAAAGAAGGCAGAGCCAGGACGGAGACCCCAGGTCTCCCGACAGCCAGCGTGGTGCTCTGTTCACAGGGCCTGGTGGAGGGCAGGGGAAATGAGGGGAAAATCAGAAGACCCCAGCTCCACCCCTTCCTACCTGTGTGACCCGGAGGCAGGCACTTCACTTTCTGAGCCAAAATTCCTTTCAGGGGGAACCAGATCCACCTCAAAGGGATATTGTGAAGATGAGATAAGGTTCTGATTGGGTCGAGCAGGGGACAGTGCCAAGCAGAGTCCCACCGTGCAAAGCCCTCCAGGGCCTGCAGGGGAGCCAGGGGGGCCTTTTCTTCCCAGGGAAGGACTGCCTGTGGCACAGCAAGCGGAGAAGACTGAGGAGCAGCCACTGCGTGGTCACAGGGCCTCCCCTGTGCCCTGCCAGGCCCTGGGCTGAGCATGGGATGGGAGGGGGTGCCAGGCACAGGTGAGAAAGACGTGAGGAGAAACAGACTCACAGAAACAGACAGGGTGGCTTCGGAGAGGAAGACAGATCCGCAGGCAGGGGAAGAAACTCTTTCACAGACTCAGGCAAGAGACAAGCAGGGCAGACAAGAGGCAGAACTGCCGAGTAAAGTGATGTCAACTCCAGAGGCGGTGGAGAAGGGGACGGAGGAGCTTGATACAGGAGACAGAGCACAAGGCAGAGACGGGACGAAGATGAGAGCCAGGAGAGCAGGCTGGGCTGGGAGAAGCAGGGCTTCTCCGCTGAGAAACCTCGGGGAGGGAGGCAAAGCCTATCCCTACAGTTTTTTTAAGCACCCTTTCCCTGTGAAGTCATGCGGGTATTTTAAGACCATGTGATGCATTATGCATATCTCGTTTTTGTTGAAGGAAATCATGGTTAGTGTATTTAAAGATGTGAATGCCTGGGAAATTATAGGGGGAGAAATGTGGGATTTTTTCCCCCTGAATTTTCTGGTTTTCTCCAAACTTCCACATCTGCACCCAGCTTCCTGGTGAGCTGGGCAGAGCGAGGAAGGAACTGGAGAGGAAAACGCCTGCTTCTCCTCTGTGCAGGCTGTGCCCAGGCGAACCTGGGGTCAGCAGCCCAGGGCGCTCCTCTGCCTCTGCTCTCAGGCCTCTGAGGCCTGTTTCCCATCCCTCAGGGAAGAGAAAATTGCAGGGGCCTTTGCAAGCATAACCTCAGTTTCTCCTCCAAGTCCTCCCGTCGGCCTCAACCATAGGGGCACAGCGCCACCTGGAGGTCACAATAGAGAATGCAGCAGGAGGAGGGATTCTATCACCAGTCCTGGGGAAGGTGGGGGTGGGTAGGAAGAAATAAAAATTATGAGCCAACTTATTGCAAGCATGTATGAAGACCCACCCTATGGAACACCTTAAATATTAGGGAAGACTGAAGGGGTGGGAGGCCTGCCCCTTTGGCCATTTGGACATTAATATTAGTACGACTTCATTTTTTTTAAATGTTTTTATTGATTTTTTTTTTTTTTTTTAGAGAGAGAGGAAGGGAGAGATAGAAATATCGATGTGAGAGAGAAACATCAATTGGCTGCCTTCTGCACGCCCCCTAATGGGGATTGGACCTGCAACCTGGGCATGTGCCCTCACTGGGAATCGAACCGGGCCTCTCAGTCCATGGGACAATGCCCAACCACTGAGCCACACAGCCGGACAGTATGACCGCATTTGTACCCTTCTTCCCCCAGCCTAGAGAACATCCAGGTTGGAGATCCACGGTGCCTGGCACACTAGGTGCTTCATACATGCTTGTTCCATTGAGTTGAGGCCCTCTGGAGTTGTGGCCCCATCCTGGACTGGATTCGAGGAGCCTCATGTGCGGCAATGGCTCTGGCAGGGTCAGAGGGGTAAGAGCAAGAGCTGGGGCCCATGTTATTTCACAGGCAGGCCCTCACCCAGGTCTGGTTGGCCCTTCTGACCCAGGCCAGCGTGGCTGGCTGAGCCTCACGCGCCCTCTTCTTGGGGAAGGGAAATGCCAGGTCCCTCGGCTGGCATCTGGAAGACAATAGGGCAGCTGCCGGGAAGTGACTAATGAGCACTCTGGGAGCAATTCAGGACAGCACACATGGAAGCTTATCTCATTCAAAATTGACAAGTTAACACTATCTAATGAGAGAGAAAGTGCTGAGCTTTCTGGGAACATGGTTTGGAGGCTGCAGCAGGCAGCTACCTTGAAGAGGGTCCACATCGAACCTCTCAGGCCGGCAGCCCTGCAAAACTGCCCTCACCTGCTATCTCATAGACATGCAAAATTTCAGAGCTGAATGAAGCCTTGGAAAGCTTCTCATTCAAATTGCTCCTTTTATAGACAGAACTGAGGCCCAGAGAGGTTAAGTCACTCCATTAAGATCACACAGCAACAGAGCCAGGACCAGAAAGAAAGCCAGCCTCTGGACTCCTGGTCCAGACCATTTACCACCATGCATTGTCCAGACTTTCTTGTGTTGAGTCCTCAAAGCTCTAGTGAGGTCACTGAACATGATGTTTCTCTACACAATCTGTATAGGCCTCAGGCCCTAAGAGAGGTCCTTCCCTTACTCCTTAGAACCAAAGTCATGGCCCTCATCTCTGGTCCAAAGACCAACTCCCACAGGCAGCCTTCCAGGAGTGCTGACCCCCCAGCTATCTCATGTGCTAGTTTACTCATTCATTTCATGTACATTCAGTGCTTAAGGGCTTGGGTTCTACAGCCATACGGCCTGGGCTTAAATTTGTCTCTCTCGTGTCTGGGCAGCGCTTGACCTCTCTGGGCCTTGATCTCCTTTTCTTTTTTTTTTTATCCTCACCTGAGGATATTTTTCCATTTTTTGTACAGATAGAGTGGGAGGGAGAGAGAGTGAGAAACATCGACGTGAAGGGACACATCGAGTGGCTGCCACCTGCACGACCAACCAGGGCCGGGGACAAACTGCAACCGAAGTACGTGCCCTTAGCGGGAACCGAACCCGGGTCTCTCCGGACCGCAGGCCGACGCTCTAACCGCTGAGCCAAACTGGCCAGGGCTTGATCTCCTTTTCTTTAAAGTAACAGTAACAATACAAACACTTGCCTCTGGGCCAGGATTAAATGGTATCAACCAGTACAGCTCTTACAAGGTAGCGAGCAAAGAACAAACACTGAGGTTAGCTCCAATTCATGTACAGTGACAACATAAAAATTATCCTGGAGAAGACATAAGATCTAATCCTGCCCAAGACATTTGGTTAAGAGCAGGAATAGGAAGACTGTATTATGGAATCTCAGAGGTAGGGCACCTAACCCAGGCGGGGAGGGTCAGGAAAGGTTTTCTGTAGGAGATACAGCTGAGTTTCAAGGGGTGAAAGATGTCAGCAAGGTGAAGAACCAGTGTGGCATGTTTAAGGACCCTCAACAGCTATGTTGCTGGAGCCACAAGTGTCATAGAGGGATGAGGAGAGGCTTAGAGAGGTGGCCAGGGCCCGGTCACACAGGCTTCGTTTGCCATGGAGGAGCCAGGGCTTGGGCCGGGAGATGACAGGGAGCCTGGGGAGGGGTGTTAAGCAAAGGGACATGGTCAGGTTGGTGTTACAATTGGACCACTCCAGGTTCTGTGGAGTATGTGTTCTCTGCCGGGCTCTTCTTCAGCAATGATCTACTGACCGTGGCTGGTTTATCTTGAATGGTCAGGGAATCTGCTCTAACCAGGCCAGTCTCATGTGAACCACAAATACTGCCAACAACTGGGAGTCGCCACACCCACATGAAAGGATTCACTCAGACAACTCTGAACCCTGAGCACTGAGGCTGTCTAACTCGTTTTTGCATCTCCAGGCACAGAATGTACATTTAGCTAATGTTTGTTAGATGAATAAAATGCCTATCAATGATACAAAACTTGCCCTGGCCAGTGTGGCTCAGCAGTTAGGGTTGGCCTGTGGACCAATGAGTCGGGGTTCAATTCCAGTCAAGGGCACATACACCTCAGTTGCCATTCATCCTCGGTCCTGGTTGGGGTCATACAAGAGGCAGCCACTCGATGTGTCCTTTTCACATTACTGTTTCTCCCTCTCCCTCTCTCTTTCTTCCTCTCTCCCTCCTACTCTATCTGAACAAAAATGGAAAAATGTCCTTGGGTGAGGATAAAAAAAGTAAATGATACTTACCTTCCTTTGAGCATTCCTGAGGCCCTGTGGGATCACGGCACCAGATCCCTCACCCAGCGAGTTTGGGGGCCTAGGACCAGGGTTGTAATAAAGGGGGTCAGATTGGCTGTTTTTTTCCACATTGCTTTGCTTCTTGAATTTTGCATTATAACTTGGAGTGAGTTAGGATCGCAAAGACCTGCCTCCTAGCTCCTACTCCACCAGGATGAGCTGGGGAACCTCGGGCCTTGAGCTGGGCATGAGACGGGTGTGACGTGACTCGCTGTGCTGACCGGCTTGAAAAGACCTGCCTCCTAGCTCCTACTCCACCAGGATGAGCTGGGGAACCTCGGGCCTTGAGCTGGGCATGAGACGGATGTGACGTGACTCGCTGTGCTGACCGGCTTGAAAAGCAGTGTCTGTAACGCTGTTGTCTGTCGAACAACTTTCCTTCATAGCTTCTCAGGCTTAATGTGATAAAAGGCCAAGGGTGTAGTCTTTATAACCAGACCTTGGTGGCCTTGAACAAATCACATGACCTATAGAAAGGGGTAACGGGGTCTCCCCTGATGGCTCACTAGGATCCAGGTTCAAAAGAGCTATGCTGGGACAGTACCCCTAAACGTGCTTCCTCCCGCTGCTCCCCAACCCTCCGGCCAGCCCCTCACCGCCCCTCAGCGAGGCAGGGCTGCCCCCCAGGATGGCCCACCCCCAGGCCTCAGCGTCACCGAGCTGTCCAGTGTGCGGGAGCCCCGGACACGGCAGAGGACGAGCACACACAGGCCTCACGGTCTCCACTTCCGCCGTCACATGGGATTCGCTTCCACGTCGGGAGCCTCGGCCTAACCGGTGAACTCTTACTGATAAACAAGAGGCTAACACTTGGTTTAACGTGTTTAATTTGTGCCGTCCACACTGAACATTGCATAGAACAGGTGTCACCCCCTGAGAGGACCCCACCTCCCCCACACAGAGGAGGATGGGGAGAGAATGAACATTCGAAGCCACGGGGAGGTAAGAAGAGCTGTGTACATGACCTCTGACAGCTTCTCTTCCACTCGCAAGCGCACGAGGGCAGGTGAGGGTGACAGGTAGCGGGGGCAGGGGTGATACTCATGGGCGGTGCCTTCCACTGTGGGAAAGGGGCCCGGAAAGGCTGTGCTCAGGGTGCTGGCTGCTCCTTCCCGCGGTGAGCCTTGGGGAGAAGCGGAGGCAGCCAGGGGCGGGGCAGTGGTGTCCTTGCTGCTTCCTATGGGAGCTGAGCCCTTAGCAGCTCCGCTCAGCAGGGAAACCAGAGTCGCCCCACAGGTCTCGAGGTTCCCAATCAGGGTAGGGGCATGCTCTAGTGGCCTCCCTTTCGGGCAGCGGAGACAGCAGGGCTGCAGCCAAGCACCCGTCGTCACCTCTGCTAGGGACGCTGAATCGACCACACCCCAACCGTCCCTCCAAGTGACCACTCTTCGCTCTGCTGGTCAGAGTCCCATCCTGTGCGACAGAAGGCGGATGCTGGACTTCACTCCTTCTGTCCTGACACACAGGTGCGCACACTGAGGCGGCAAGCAGGTAAGGAAAAGGGACACAGTGACATGTCCAGCCTGGTCATTTTGTAAGCAAAAGGAAGAAAGACTAGGACAGAGTCTCTCCAGAGGCAGCCCTGCAAGGCATACACCGCACTCAGAGCCCAACTCTGCCTCCCTCTGGCCGAGCCATTCACGGCTCAAGTCCAGAGAATCAACAATTCACCAGAAAGGACCAGAAGACACAGGAGCAGAAGAGCTGAAGCTCACGGGCTTTGGCGCTTAAGCGACGAGGTGTTCGCAGTCACGCACACACTTAGGGTTCCTGGGAGGGATGCCAGCACACCCACCCGGGGCAGGGCTCCGATTCTCGTGGTGTGCTGGAAAGGGCCCCTCTCAGCTGGAGGTGTGAGATCCAGACAGCCCCCCACCGCTGCTCCTCTACGGCCTCCAGTCACACCTGGAAATTACAGCTGCCCCACCGCTGCTCCTCTACGGCCTCCAGTCACACCTGGAAATAACAGCTGCCCCACCACTGCTCCTCTGCGGCCTCCAGTCACACCTGGAAATAACAGCTGCCCCACCGCTGCTCCTCTAAGGCCTCAAGATAAAAACCCCTGAAAGGGGGGAGCTTCCTTTCAGGTGTAACTGTTGGGCTTCCAGACTGTTAGCTATTGTACAAGGGAATCACCCGGGTGATCTCCTGCCTGCAGATGGGGCAGTTCTTGGGCTCCGGCAAGGCGCGGTAGCACTCGCTGCAGGAACAGACGTGCCCGCACTCCAGAAAGACGCAAGACTTGAAGTTGCTCAGACACACAACACAGGTGCTCTTCAGACTCTCCCTGTCCTCGGGCTTGGCTTGGCTCAGCAGCTGGGCCTCATGCTCCCGGAACTCCTTCTCCATCTGCCTGAGGCGCAGTCGCTCCTGCCACTGCAGATACTGCTTTCGGAGGATGAAGAAGAGGGTAGCACATGCAGCAAAGCCAAAAACCAGCGTCAGAGTCTTCCAGAGTCTGACACTCGACTCCTGCCTCTGCAGCAGGCTGTCGAAGTCCTGGCTGCTTAGATAGTACTGCATGCCCTGCTTGGGGGGCTGCAGGCGGATGGAGTTATTGTCCAGGACCAGCTCGCCCACCCCTGTGAGGGTGGCCCCGATCTTCAGCATCTCCTCGGTCTCCTGGATGCCTTTGGGCCGCTCACCGCTGATGTAGTGGCCGATGACATCAGTGAAGGACTGAATCGAGGGGTGGAACTTCTCGTACACAGTCTCTAGGCCCAGATCCAGGGAATCCAGGGGCTTCAGCACTCGCACGGCCACACCCACGCCATCCTCGTGGGGTACCAGGTCAAAGGGCACTGTGTTGGTCCTCTGGTGAATTATCTTTGAATAATCATTCCTAAAACAGTAAGAGAATTCAAGATAAAATAAAGGACAGCAGCCCTGGCCAGTTTGGCTCAGCAGCTAGAGCGTCGGCCCGCGGACCAGAGTCCCGGGTTTGGTTCCCACTAAGGGCATGTACCTTGGTTGCAGTTTGTCCCCACCCCAGTTGGGGTTGTGTGGATGGCAACCTGTTGATGTGTCTCTTTCACATCGATGTTTCTCTCTCTCTCTCTCTCTCTCTCTTTCACATCAATGTTTCTCTCTCTCTCTCTCTCTCTCTCTTCCTCCCTCTCTCCCTCCCGCTGTCTGAAGATAAATGTGAAATAAATAAATAAATAAAGGACCGCAAACAGGTCACGCCCAGGCAGAGATGTAGGTCACATACATGCCAGGAGGACAGGATAAAATCTGAAGTTACTGCAAGAGCACAACAGAAATCAGTATTATTGCCCTGGCCGGTTTGGCTCAGCGGTTAGAGTGTCGGCCTGCGGTCCGGAGAGACCCGGGTTCAGTTCCCGCTAAGGGCACGTACTTCGGTTGCAGTTTGTCCCCGGCCCTGGTTGGTCGTGCGGGTGGCAGCCACTCGATGTGTCCCTTCACATCGATGTTTCTCTCTCTCTCTCTCTCTTCCTCTCTCTCCCTCCTCCCACTCTATCTGTACAAAAAATGGAAAAATATCCTCGGGTGAGGATAAAAAAAAAAATTATCCAAGTGCTTCAATTTGTTAGGGTCTCAGGCCATTATCAGTGAGCAACAAATACTGACATAGATCACCTCTACCATTTATCTCCTTTTGCCACTTTAAAATAAATATCCAATTCCTTAAATAATTTAAAATAGAACTACCAGATGATCCAGCAACCTCACTTCCGGGTAACGAACCAAAACAAGGATCTCAAAGAGAGCTCTGCACGCCCATGTTCACTGCAGAATTATTCACAAGAGCCAAACGTGGAAGCAGTCTGTCTGTCAGTGGATACATGGATAAAGAAATGCAACAGATAGACGCAGACACACACACACAGAGGAATCTTTTTCAGCATAAAAAGAAGGGAATCCTGCCATATGCAACAAGATGCATAAACCTGGAGAGCATGATGCTCAGCAAAGTAGGCCATTCAGAGAAGGACAAATACTGCATAATTCCATATATATGAGGCATCTAAAATAGTCAAACTTATGGAAACAGAGAGCGGAATGGTGGTTGCCAAGGGCTGGGGGCGGTGGGAGAAAATGGGAGCTGCTGTCAAATGGGTATAAAGTTTCAGTTATATAAGATGAACACATTTTTGAGATCTGCTGTACAGCTTTGTGCCTCTAACTAACAATACTGTATTGTTGCACTTACAATTTTGTTAAAAGGGCCCTGGCCGATTTGGCTCAGTGGTTAGAGCGTCGGCTTACGGTCCAGAGACCCGGGTTCAGTTCCCGCTAAGAGCATGTACTTCGGTTGCAGTTTGTCCCCGGCCCTGGTTGGGTCGTACAGGAGGCAGCCACCTGATGTGTCCCTTTCACGTCGATGTTTCTCTCTCGCTGGCTCTCTTCCTCTCTCTCCCTCCCACTCTATCTAAAAAATAAATTTTTTGTTTAAAGGGTAGATCTTGTTAAGTGTACTTGCTACAATAAAAAATAAAATAAATACAAAACAAAACCCACTAGGATCATTTGGGAAAATGGTACTTCATTTAACAGCAAAATAATCCACAAAATTATTTTAATTAACACCAAAATAATGCATCTATGCCATAAATCAGCAGTTTCTAACTTCAGTGGGCATATCAACAGATTCTGGGCCCCATCCTAAAAATTCTGGTTCGGTAGGTGTGGAATGAAGCCCAGGAACCTGCATTTGAACAAGGAGCTTGGGTGACTCTGAGTCAAGAGGTCCTCAGACCATACAGGAGAATGTGATCAGCATTAAGAAACTGATCTACACCCTGCTTCAGAAGCTGAGACAGGTCCTGGGCCAGGGCAGGAAGGCTACATACCAAAGATGGGTCGTTCGGTTCCACACCATCTTGTGCTCCTGAAGCGTCAGCCGCTGAATCACCCCCTTGCAATTTTCCACAAACTGGCTGTTAAGTGTTTCTTTAACAGACCGAACAGCTCCTAAATGGAAACCAATTGTTTTATTTCGGAAGAACTATTCTGCCCTTCCCTTTAAGGCAATTTAAATTTTGTTTTTAGTTTGAGTTAGTTTCATTAATCAAAATGATGAAAGTGTTATCACCATAAGTTATGCTTTGTGGGCACCACAACAATACTGTTAGGTAGAAATTGTTTTAGAGATGGGGCAGTAGAGGTTCAGAAAGGTTGGGTGATTACCCCAAGGTCACACTGCAATAATCCAGGTCTTTCTGATCCCAAAGTCCATATTCTAGACCACTGACCCAAGGATACAAAAGGCCCTAAATATCAGCAAGAAACAGACTTTCAGAAGAGGGAATTACTTTTCATTTTACCAATAAACAAACATACCTTCAATAACAGCATAAGGCACACACTTTCCTGGAGCTTCTGAAAGGATACTCTTTAAGTCTTCACCCAAGTGGATTCTTTTAGCTCCCTAAATGCAAACAACACATTCAACTGACTACTGAATACTGACATGTCCAATCAAACTTAAAGGGCAAAGGAGAAAGACTATTTACTTTTTTCATGCGGAAGGAATGAGGAAATCAGGCAGGAAGGGGACTATGGGAAATTCGGACTCCAAAGCTATGCCAGGGAAGTTTTAAAATATAAACAAGCATGGGGTAGTGCCCCTCTCTGCCATTTGCAGAATGGGGGTGCCACGTACATTCTTCCTCCAGCTAATGGAAACATACAATCCTTTTTCATCTTAATTTTTTTAATGAAAATTACGAATCAATTTGCATACCCCAGACTGAACATAATTTAATCTCTTCTTGACAATACAGAATGATGCATCCAAAGGGCTTTTGTGTAAAGCATGTAAACGAGTGCCTAGTACATGGGGCAGGGGGCTGGAGCAATAGTGGCATTACTGTCACTATGCCTTTATGAAGTCGTGCTCTACATTGTACACTATGGTAAAGGAGTGCTTCTGCTTTACAGGCCAAGGCTCTGTTAGCTGGTGCCAAACGCTGTTCTATTTTCAGTTTGTCTTTCTCTCCTCTCATAATCAGGTGAGCATGGTGACGGCTGCCGCTGTCTTTCTCTAACAACCCCTAGTTCTCCCACCCCTTCCAATTCAGTTTCCAACCTGATGTGCTTGGGAACCAAGCAAGCCTGTTACTGCTTTACCACAAATATGAGAAAAGCAATGAAAATCATTTCCTGAGCATGTATATGCCAGGCACAGTGCTGGGCCCTAGGGATTCGGGTTTGAATGGTGGACAGTTCCCACTCGCAGAGTATTCCCATCCATAAATCTTAAAGATGCCAGTTAAGTAACCTCTCAAGAGAAGATGAAATATTGGATGCATATTAAGTTCACTCTAAGATAAAGCTACTGCTACACAGTAAATGACAGCAGCAAGGTTAATAAACACATTATTAACCACCTACATTGTGAAGATAATAAAAAAAACCAGTAACAGCAATAACAACTAACAGTTTATTTACTTGTTTTATTATTTGTCTTCCTCCACTGGACTATTCAACTCTAGGAAGGTTAGGGCCCTGTTTGTCTCGTTCACTACTGTCCCCTTCATGCTAGGAATAGTGCCTGATACATAGGAGGTACTCAATAGGTATCTAATGAATAAATAAGCGCTTATATATGCTATACAGCAGGCCCTATGCTAAGTACTTTAAATGCATAAATCCATTCAATGCGTATACCATCCTTATACAGTAGACATTATTATCCTCAGTTACAGATAAGAAATCTGAGGTTCAGAGAGGTGAAGTGACTTGTCCCAAGTCACACAGCTGATAAAGCATCCACCACAGGACAGCCAGTTAGAATTTTTTTAAAGGGTGACGGAGGAATATGCTCAGAAAGATGTGGGGCTGAATCAAGCTTCAATGAATCTACTGTGACCTTGAGCAACTTAACTGATCTTAGCCTTGGTTTCCAAAACAGTAGAAGATGGGAAGAACAATCTCACAGAATTTTATGTGGACTGTATGAACTTAAGATGTGAAAGATTCTAGCCCAGAGGCTGGCATATAGTAGGCATGCAATAAATATGCATTTCCATCGCTGTAAGAGGTGCACGGCAGTAACACACAAACCCGACTATGGAAGTCCTGTAATCACATCAAGAAAATAGAATCTAAATTATTAGGACTCCCAAATCTTTTTACAAAAAGGGACTATTTCATCCTCATTTAGGGACTAATTGGCAAAGTGCTTAAGGTCATCCAGAAATGGGTGCTGGAGAGTTCATTGCTTCAAAGAATCCCACACAGGCCCAATTGATGCCAACTTGATTTCTGAGTCCAAAAGTGAAGTATCAGTTATATTGACAGCCAATCACTTCAGGAGTTACTCGGTTATCAGGCAAACAAAAGGGGAATGAGAATCTCACTAGGATCCCATTTTCACCACAAATTCAATTGCTTGGTAACTTGGTTCATTCCAGATATATTGTAAAACTTGCCTCGCAGCAGGTATTTCACACATTTGTTTCTAAACCCTTACTGAAAACAATCTGATGATGAAGTCAGTAGGTTTAGGAATCCATCTTTCAAATAAATGTCCAATTAAGCCCTAACATGGTAGTGTAAAATTTCAACCAAAACTAACCCACAAACATTTACTGAGCATCTACACTAGTCAAGCCCTGAGTTAGACCCTAGAAGGAATGAAGAAAGATAAGACCCTGTCTCTAACCTAATAAGGTCCATCTCTCCTGGGCCAGATATTCACAGTAAAGCAATGTCGTCAATTTAAAAAATAAAATAAAATTCTACATGTGGAGTCAAAAGCTCTAAGTTCAAGTTCCAACCTGACTAACTAACTGTAAGACCTTTCCTCTGAGCCTCAATTTCCTGATTTGCAATCTGGAGGTAATTTCCATTTTCTCTACCTCAAAAATTACTGTGAAGAAAAAAGTAACAAGATGGGAATGTCTTATGTAAGCTATAAAGTGCAGCTCAAAAGTGTCATTTTAAAAAGAACTAAAATATAAAAAAAGGAAGAGTCTGGGAGCAAGAAGTTGAGTAGGTACGGTTTCTGCACTTGCTGGTCCCTCTGTTTTAACTGCTCTTCCCCAAGGCATCTATCTGCAGGGTCTCCTTCCTCTTCTCCTGGGCTTTGTTCAAATGTTACCTTATTTAAAATAGCAAACTTCCCTTTCTCCGGCATTACATTTCCTCTCCTCCCTACATGACTGTAGTATTTAACCCCATCTGTCATACCACCTGATTTATTGGTCCCCTGTCTGTGTGATTGTAGGAGAATGGAACCTCCATGAAGGCAGGGACTTTTGTCTGTTCTACCCATGCGATATTCCCAGTGCCTGCAGCTTAGCAGGTGTTCAAGAAATATTTGCCGAATATAATACTGAAGTCAAGATTCAATCTGAGCCCTGGCCTGTTTGGCTCAGCGGTTGAGCGTTGGTCGGCGGACCGGAGTCCCAGGTTCAGTTCCTGCTAGGGGCACGTACCACAAAAAAAAAAAAAAAAAAAATTCAATCTGAGACTCCTTATCCACAATATCAACCTACAAAGCTTGTGTTCATCAAGCTGTCTCCTACAGGTTATGCTTTACATTCTTAAAAACACAGGAATGTGCCTGTTGGCCCAACTCGTGAAGCAGTTATCAAGAGACCCGAATTCTGATCCTATTTCCCCCATGTACTGGCCGGGTGACACCCTTCCTTAGCCTACTTCCTCTTTTGGATAGTTTCCGACAGTGCAGCGGCCCGCGGCCAACGGTGGGCTCACCACTGCCGGGGGCAGAGATGAGCCGGCCGGGGACAGGCCGGCTCCAGCACTGACCTTGAGCTCTTGGGCGACCTGGCCCTTCTGCCGGTACACGAAGTACAGGGCGGCGGTGACGACAGAGCTGGTGCCCAGGAGGATGAACTGGCCCAGCGAGGGCCGCCCTCCGTTCTCCATGGCGGGGCCGAGCCCAGAGTGCAGGAGGGGACGCCGAGGTCAGGCCCTACGACCCGGGCCCAAAACCTCCCGCGACTTCACTCCCCCAGGACCGAACCCGGGAGAAGACCTTTCCCGAAACCCGCTCCAGGGCGCCAAGCGATGGCGTAACGCCGCACCGGAAGTGGAGGCGGGGAAAGAGCAGACCGGAAGGTGGCGTTGCCAGGGTGATTGCCGCGGGGCGGCGGCGTGCCCGGGGGCGGGGCCTCCTGAGCGCGGAGCGGGGAGTTGTTTGCAGGAGCTGAGCGGTCGCTCTGGAGCGTGGCGCACCGACCGTCCAGGAATGGCCCGTCTACCGGATCTCTGTTGCGTTGATTTTCTGGGGTTATTGAGCTGTTTGATGGGTTGTTCGATTGGGAGGAGATAAGAGAATGTGTAATAAGCATTTATGAGTATTACACATTTAAGCTTCAGGGCAAACTTGAGACTTGGATTTTATTCTTCCACTTTACAGATGAGAAGACAGGCCAGAGAGGTTAGGGGATGTGCTTGAGTCACACGGCCAGTGAGGGCTAGAGAGGAATTTACCAGACTCCAGAGCCCTGGCTCCAAGAGGGGAGATTATATCACCAAAGTAGCCCCTTAATCTACCATCACTACGTATAACATATTGTTTATTAACTAATAATCACAGCTACATTTATTGAATGCCTATGACATGTCAGGTATTATGATAAAAAGCACAGCTGTGAAGCAGATTTCAGAGACTGTTTTTGGACCTCTGTAGTGATCCCTAAAATAATTAAGAGATACCCCAAATCTTATCCACAGTATCAACCTACAAAGCATGCGTTCATCAAGCTGTCTCCTACAGGTTATGCTTTACACTTGAAAATGCAGGAATGTGCCTGTTGGCCCAGCTCAGTGTGTATAAAATGCACTTAAAAACTGTGAGCTGCTCCCAAAAAGTAAAATCTATTTATTTATTTATTTATTTATTTATTTTTTATCCTCACCCGAGGACATTTTTCCATTTTTTGTTCAGACAGAGTGGGAGGGAGAGAGAGGAAGAGAGAGAAACATCGATGTGAAAGGGACACATCGAGTGGCTGCCACCCGCACGACCAACCAGGACCGGGGACAAACTGCAACCGAGGTAGGTGCCCTTAGCGGAACCGAACCCAGGTCTCTCTGGACCGCAGGCCGATGCTCTAACTGCTGAGCCAAACTGGCCAGGGCTAAAATCTCTTTATTTTATTTTATTTTTTTTTTTATCCTCACCCGAGGATATTTTTCCATTTTTTGTACAGATAGAGTGGGAGGGAGAGAGAGGAAGGGAGAGAGAGAGAGAAACATCGATGTGAAGGGACACATCGAGTGGCTGCCACCCGCACGACCAACCAGGGCCGGGGATAAACTGCAACCGAAGTATGTGCCCTTAGCGGGAACCGAACCCGGGTCTCTCCGGACCGCAGGCCGACGCTCTAACCGCTGAGCCAAACCGGCCAGGGCTAAAATCTCTTTATTAAAGCAGCTGGCTATCCCTGACATTTTTCTACCCCATATCTTTAATTATGCTTGGAGTCAAGCAAGAGTTACAGTCTAGCCCAGCAATGTGGCTTAGTGGCTGAGTGTCCACCCATGCTCCAAGAGGTTGCTGGTTGGATTCCCTGTTAGGGCACACGCCCAGGTAGTGGGCCAAATCCCCCGTGGGGGGCATGCAGGAGGCTGCCAGTCAATGTTCTCTCTCATCTTTGTTTCTACCTCTCACTCCCTCTCCTTTCCTCTCTCTCTCTCTAAAAAATCAATAAAGAAAAAAAAATATTTTAAAGAGTTACAGTCTATGAACATGGGGTTACAATCTCCAGATTTCCAATACCACCAGACAACTTTGCTGATTTTCAACCTGAGATAATCATAAATTTGTTACACACACACACACACACACACACACTCTTAAGATATATCTTTAATTTCATGATGGAATTTGTCAAAAAGTTTAATAACACTGTGTTGGCAAAGGTGTAGGGACATAGACTCCTGTAATATTGCTCATGGATGTAAAATTGGACACTTTATGGAGAACAATTAGGTGATGATCAAGATTAAAAATAGCCACACCCAGTGACCTAGCAATTCCACTTCTAGAAATTCTTCCTACATACATACACATGTGAACACAACAAATTTACAAGATGATTCACTGCAGCATTGCTTTTAATAACAAGAGAATGAAAACAACCTAAATGTTATCAATAGTCAATTGGTTACATAAATTTTTTAAATATGTGCACATGAGTAGGGTAAAGTGAATTAGCAAACTGCAAAACTGTTTGAGGATGATGAGCCCATTTATTTTAAAAAGAAGAGAGAAATAAATATGTTTCCATATCTCTAGAAGGATTCATCAAAAGCTAATCATATTCGCTGTTTCCCTAGAAGGGAATTGGGTGGCTAGAAAACACAGCCACTTTTTACTCTCTTGTACTTTCTGAGTGTGAATGTATGGCATATTTCAAATTAATAATACTTGAATTTTAAAAAAAGAGGAAGAACACGCCAGTCACTCCATAGCCAACAATTACAAGAGCTTTCTGTGACCCAGGCTCTGGGCTGGGCACTAGGCTGTTAGATAGCCAGGCTCTGCCCTCTGGCTCTTCAGGGTTTTGTGAAGCAGACAAGGGCAGGTTTATCTGCTGTCCCAGGTCCAATGATACTAGCACAAGCAAGAGCAGCACAGCTTACTTTCCTGCCAAGGGAAGGGATTTGAGTTATGTAAACAGAACGGAAGGTGGAAGGGCGGGATGGGAGTGGGAAAGACTTCAAGCGGTGGGAACTTGATGACAAACATGCAAGCTAACCAACAGTTGACTGGTATAGCCTGAGCCCAGGACAAGTGACAGGGCAGGGAGCATGTAATTGAAACAGAAAGTTGGGATCAGATCTCATTGGTCTCTAAATGCCAAACCAAAATGTTAAACGTCATCACTTTCGGGGTGGGATCTAGTAAAGCTGTTTGAGAACCAGCAGGGCATGATTTAACCTGATTTTGGTTTTTTTGATCATCAAGATTCCTGTATCCTGAGGTCATAGCAAAGGGAAAAATAAAAAGGGGGCCATAAAATTGAAGACTAATGAAGAGTCTCCCCTGCGAGAGGTGCTTGTTTGTGGGTTCTGACTATTTGGGGTCCTTTTATTTGGGGTCCATTCACAGATGTTGCGTTTTTTACAAATTGAAGGCAAGACCCTCCACCCGCAAAAAGATCACAACTCATTTTATTGCAATATTTGCTTTATTGCTCTGGCTGGAACTGAACCACAGTATCTCTGAGGTCTGTGTGTATTCTCCAGGCCCTTTTATGGATTGCTTGGGAGCTTGTTAAAAGACTATCACTCTTAAATGAAACATTTTGGTTTTAAATAAACCTGCCCCTTTTGCCAAAGGCTGAAATCCTCCATTAGTCATGCTGAGCATGGTCCTACTGGGACATTTTGAAACTTACATCACGTGGCCCTTGTTAGGAGTGATGAGCAATGAGCGATGGGCAGCTTCTGCTGCAGTCACATGTCCCTAGGGAACCTTCTCTAGCTCAGAATGGCTGTCCTCAATGAGTCACAGGTTAAAGATCAGCCTCTAAATTTGAGAAAGTGAGGTAAGTGCCCTAGGCACCAGGCAGAGCGAACGGGGAGTTCGTTGCTAAGGACCAGGCCACCACTGGAAGCACCGAGCTCCAGACCCATGCCATCGATTTCCCCTCAGAGGAGCAAACATTCCCTGAAAATCACTGGCTAAATGCCCCCTTAGGCTGTCCATCCACTGAGAACTTGGCAGGGTCCAGGCACCAGCAGGAAGGAGAGCAGGCCTCCCCCCACTTGCACTGACACTACCAGGCAGGTGTCACAGGGAAGAGGAAACAGAGAAGATGTTGACAGTTGCAAGAGTTTGTCACTCGGTTTTCTTACAGCACTTTCCCCATGGGAGAGCTAACATAATTGTTATTAGGAAGTATCTACTGTAGCCAACAAATTTTAATGAGTATTGATCCCATGCAGTGTACTCTTCCAGAAACAGTGGGACACAGGGACAATGTGCCAGACATGCCCCTGACTTCATGCTGGGTATTAAGGAGACTTTTTAAATAATGATTTAAACCTCACCTGTTTGTAAAAAGAATCTGAGATGATTTCTTAAAGCGAAATACATCATAAAACAGATGTAGTATTAAAAATAAATCACCCAGTAACAAATACTAACTAACAGGAGAAGGAAACTACCTGGTGTAGGCACCTAGGATGAGCTCATCACTGCAGGTGGGCATCATCCTTGACTGTGAGCTTCTCAAGAGCCATAGCAAAAAGGAAATGTATTGGGGTACAATCTAGTAGAGAAGATGGGACAAGCACCCAAAATACTACGGTTCAAGGCAGTTTGTGAAAAGTCTGATGAAGGGAGAGGGACAAATTTGTCCAGAGGTCAGCAAGTGGTCCACCATCCATCTGAGGATGCTGCTATCAGAAGCTTATAGAAGGATGTAGGCTTTAAGAGGTCTCAAAAGAGTTTGTACCCAGGAGGGTCCCACAAAGTGAGCTCACTTCCTCTCTCAGTCTCCCTTGGACCAGCAGGACTGACTTACCATTGACTGGCCAAAGGTTCCAGCAGATAAAGAAGGGAGATCTCATGGAAAGCAAATGGGTCTGTGAGGTCAAAGTGGTGGGCCTTGGCCTCACCTGCACCACGCACCACAGGGGAAGGGCCAGCCTTGGAGGGGGCCTGACCTGTCACTCCTTCACTTTGTCATTCTTCAAAACAGAGTATTAGGAACCAGACACTAAAAAAATTTGTAACAGCTTTACTGTCATATAATAAACTGCACATATTTAAAGTGTCCAATTTGGTAAGTTTGGACATATGTATACACCCATGAAACCATCACCACAATCAAGAGAGTGAACTATCCATCACCCCAAAAAGTTTCCTAGGAACCCTTGGCAATCCCTCTCTCCTTCCCCACCCTGCCAACCACCCCCGCAACCACTGGTAAATGGAATCATACAGTATGTACTATCCTTTCTCTGGCTTCTTTCACCCAGAACAATTTGTTTGTTTGTTTGTTTGTTTTTGTTTTTGCTTTATTAAGAAAGAAAGAAAGAAAGAAA